ACTTCATCGGATAAAAGTATCCGTCACTTGATCGGGCAATAAAAATAACAACGAAATACATCATTTAATCGGTTTATCCGATGGAAATTTTCCTCAGCCTAGCATTACGATATCCCTATCTAAAAGATCGCCAATTGCTCTCGACGTTTTCCACGCCACCGCTGATCGGACTGTGACGAGACTCTAATCCCTAATTAATTAATATAATTATAAAATAATTCTCAATACTTTCTCCGTGATACATAAAATCTCCACGATGAGATAACATTGCGAGAGAAGAGAAACGAAGCTGCGGGCGATGATCGTTCGTGATTTCGTCGCGCGGCGCCGGCGATTTCCGGGTACGGGCCCCTCGCATCCGCGAGATACGTGCATTGTGTGAGAAAAAAGAAGGAAGGTGAGAAAAAAACTAGCGAGAGTGAGAGGAAGAGAGAGAGAGAGAACGCCAAATCGGTGCACCGAGCGGCGGGGTCAGGCCGCCCGTCCGGGTGGTGAATGGCAGCGTTTAAAGCGGCTTAAAGTCAGCGCCGACGTAATCGGCCCTGTCGATCTTCGGCGGGCCTCGCGCGCCGTAATCCTCGAGCACGGGATGAACACGTTGGGGCCCCCATTCAGCCGCGGTGTCTCTCGTCCCGTCGAGGATCTCCGCCGCGCGACGGCATTGATCATTGTGTCCCACACGATACAGCCCATAATGGGCCCACGTCGCTTCCATCGTTGTCCGGTGCTGATACGAGAATAAAGACTGTCCGTGGCTCGTCGATGGGCCCGCTTCGTCGCTCTGGTTTCCCCCTGGCCCCTCCTCTCTCGCGAGGCTCTACGAGGCGCGATCCCCGTGTGCGCCACTACGTCTTCTCGATCCTCTCTCATTGTGATCGGTGGATCGCGGCCGTACGGACCGGTACACACACCGTTGTGCCGTCCGGTATACACGGCCCGCGTGTTTCCCCGTCATCCACTCGCGGTTCCTCGACGTGAATCCCGTGTCCGTGCGCCAGATAAGATCGTGATCGATGGTACGCGCGATCGATATTTCGCCCCTCGCATCTGCGCGCCTCTTTGTGCGCCGGGAAAATTGGGCGTTTCTCGACGCGATCTTACGCAACCTATCCACCTAACCTACCCTGTCTCGGGGCGACGAGAGATCGAACGCCGCGGGAGTTATTCGCGCGATAATAAAGTTGTAAACTCACGGCCGAGCGCCGAGGGCGGCTGCTGCTACGTCGTAGACTCCGTCGCCTACAATGCGGTCGCACGCGAAGAAAAATTGTATTAAAACCGTCGGTACGATGCCGGCACAGAAAATTTTATGCTGTCGCAACGAGATCTGTCGGTTACTGTGTGGACAATAAAACGATCTGTTGATCAATTCAGAACATCATCGACATTCGGTGGATTATCTTCCTGAATCTGCAAATTATTCCTGCCGTAAGAACAAATTAGTAAATATAGGGACAAAATATATTGTTCTGACAGCAAATTAACGTGTCGTAAAGACAAATTCACTCAGCGGAATATTTTCTATCCTACCTGACTGTTCCTGAACTACACAGAAAACAATATTTTGCTGACACTGTGAATTGTTAGTTACTATGGTGACAATGAAAAGATTTGTTTGGACGATGAAAAGGTTTGTTAAGAATATTAATTGCTATCTGTTGCATATACGGAGAGCAAAATAACTTGGTTATGCCAACAACGTTTTAATACAACAGCAAAATTATTTTTTCCGGGTAACAAATCTTCTTGCTGTCGCCAGTACTAAATGACAAATTGCGATGCCAGAAGAATATTTTTCTCCGTATAATTACGAATAATTCACCAATTTGGTTACGCGAATTAAATGTAATTATTATCGCAATAAATATACAGTAGATGGTATGATGGTTTCGTAACGACGGGAAAACAAAATCGTATAGTCACAATCGCTCGGATCGATCCATTTCTAATTCCAACACTACGACCAATCTATCGCCAGAATTGAAAGTGGACCGATCCGAATGACTGCGATGACACGATCCTGCGACTATATTACAAACCAACCTCGAGACAATGCTTTACATGAATAACATGAAGAGGAAACGCGAAGAGAGACGAAAGTGTCGTTGCGCTACGAGAAAAAAGTGAGCGTTCGCATAAGAGGAGAAAAAAGGAATTAAGGTCGTCTCCATCGACGGTAACCACTGTCGTAACACGGCAAGGGCCGGTATCTAAGCGCAGGAGAAGAGAAATGCGTAAGAAGCCGCCACACACGCAGGATGTCGGGATAATACACATTATAGTCCAGTCGTTATTACGTACAAGTCCGGCCAGCCAGCTGTGATACGTGCGCAACGCGAGCCGGAAGGACGACTCCCGCGTGTCTGCTTTTCCTGCATGAATGAAATGTAATTTAAGCTTACTCAAGTACCCGTATTTTCATTCATCTCGCATTAAGGTATACGGGTGGCTTCTCGCAAGTGTCTTTCTCTCCTCATGCAACCGCGCGTCCCCATGGGGTCGGCCGACTGAGATTCCCCGCAACCGACGCGACGCTACGCGAAAGAACGCTCGATTCCCCGGGCTTCTCCCCTCTCTCCTCCTTCGTTTTTTCGCTTTCTGACTTTGTTCGACAACACCGGGCGTGTTTCGCTCGAAACGCGACCCCGTTATCATCGCGAAGCGTTGCAGAAAATTCGAATCGCTCCTCAGGTGGAAGCCACCTCGGCAGCCTTTAATTTGACGCGACGCGTCAAGGTAATGCCGAGGCAGGTAGGGGAGCAGAGCGAACGCTGGACGAAGGGGGCAGGAAGGGGGTAAAAATCGGTGAGGAGGAATCATGGCTGGATGCACTCCCTCCCTGTGTTCACGCACTTTTACCGTCGGCAGCGGGTATCGGCATTGCCCCTGCGTTTTTCAAAGCGAAGGGGGAGCGGGAGGGGGAGGAACGCGGACGACCTGTTGAGCGTCGTCGTGTCGAGAGTCGGAATTGCGTGTATCGCGATGTATACGTGCCGCGTACAGTATATATACTGCAACGAAAAATTGCAGCGCAGCGCACGACGATTGCCGCACGGTTGAGAAAAACTCGCCTCGCGCAATTCGCCGACAAGAAACATCCGGCCACTTCCGGCTGGCCATCGCTCCTTCCGCAACGATCACGACGACGTTCGCGTTCATACTTTCGAAGATTGTGCCGCAATATGTATGAATACGGCGAAATCGATTCGTCGACGGAGTCTTCGTTCATTTCGCTCGAGTACCCCGCCATTTTCTCTCTTTCTTCGAAAGTCCACGGCGGAATTAGCTCGCGCGTTTCTTCGACGTGATGGCGAGATAAAGATATTATTTCTCTGCACTCGGCATCTTTTATCGATAAGTTTATCACAATAAGTTTGCTCAACAAGTTAATCAGCAACTCGAAGCGCTATTTGCCACTACATTGTGTAGCTGTGTTGATATATTAACCATTTAGTTAAGGCGCATTATTAGTGCTCCTTTGATGTTATAAAGGGAATTTAGATCTCCCGGAGAGAAATTTTAAATTCTATGTTGTCTTGAAATAACGGGGATATCTTCTTATTTATAGCATCAAAAAAAGTACAATACAAAACTTTTGAAGATTTAATGTAGAATTAAATAGACTTAACATAGAACTGAAATTTTGACTCAGGCTGATGCGCTGAGCATATAGTGTTATGCGTCCAATGCATGATGCGATGTTCATTTGTTTTTATCGATGCTAGGTATTACGTAACGTAAATATGTTCGTAAAGGTATTATTTCAGTGAGAAAATAAATGTTGAATCAAATTTACTGAGCCTCTACAGGGTGTTCCAGTTTATGTGACTTTTAACTTTGCCAAGAGGTCCTCTGAATAATTTCAAGTTAAATTTTCCTCAACGGAAATGTCGGGGCACCAGTCGTTTTCGAGATACGAATGAATGAAAAAGTGGAGATTTTCGTGACTACGCTTCGAGCGATTAAATGGATAATAAAATTATTTCCTCCGATTTGTTTCAAATGTATTTTGATTTAATAGAATTTTAATTTGAGACTTGGCTAAAAAAGATATGTTAAAGACTGAAAAGTTGCCATAAATAATAACCTCGATATTTTTTACAAAAGAAAAATGAACTCTAAATTGTTCAGGGAATCTCTCCATAAAATTAAAAATCGCGAAAACCAGAATATCCCGTATATACGCCCTTCGTAGCTAAAAGGTTAAAATCCGTAAGTTGAATATTAAAATACATAGGGATTATATAAGTAACGTATTATATATTAAAATAAATATTATATTAAAGACTCAGAAAACTGGTTTTTCACTTTTTTCGGCTGTTCCGCGGATAAGTGAAGAAAAGGTTTTTTTTCAATTTTCTGCAGAATTTTTCAGTTTCTCTTCGAGGAAAAATGGAAAAAAGCAGATTTTTAAAATTATAATAAATTTAATGATTGTTATAACTCAGTCACACAAGTGATATGGTGCTCATAAGATTATTAATAAACATGTTGAATGCTTCTGTTTCTATTAGAAAAAAAATTTGTCGGAGTCTCGATATAGAAACCACCTAATTCAAGAGAAACATGCTAATTATATTAAAACATGTTAATTTACTAAGAGACCGAAGTATAAAGAATTAATACGCAAATTGTGTTTGAGATATACACGACGATGCTTCGTTTAACACTTATCTCTCTCTTTCTCTCTCTCTCTTTCTTTCTCACTCTCGGACCAGTTTCTTCCGGCTGTCAACGAGTAGAAATCAAAGCAAAACAATATACTTTCTTGATACGTGCCGCTTGCGGCGCTCCACTTTCTCCCGCGTCTTCTTTTTTAATGACACTCATTAGGATCATTTATAATGACCAACGGTTGCATATGGCGGCGAACGACAAATTACATTTTACATAACGTCCCTCCCCGACGCACGATCGTCCTCGCGAGGACACGCGCCCGTATAAAAAGAGAGAGCGGCACGACGAGCGATTGACAGTTCCGTTCGATGCGATTCCCGAAGATGGCAAAGTTCGCGATCGTCGCGATCGTCCTACTGGCGGTCACCGGTTCATTGTCCCAGAGAATAATTAGGGAAACGCCAGCCGCAGGTGAAAGGATATTTACAGTCACTCGAATGTACAATCCGTAGAGAGAAATTAGTCGTTATTACTTGCGCGCGTAATGAACTTGTAATTACCAACGAACTCGAGCTTCTCAAAAAAAAAACCTGTTTTCTGTCCGATTGCAAGATACGAACGTGGAGGCCATCAGGGACATCCTGCAGAAGATTTCGACGGGTGATTCGAACGCGAAGGACGACGAGAGGCTGATCGAGATCATCAAGGAGGAGATCGTGAAGACCGCGGAGGAGATCAAGTCGCCGGAAGGATCGATCGATGCGGCCGCCAGGAAGGCGCAGTCGTTGGTCTCCACATTGACCTCCTCGTACACCAGCGCCATTTACAAGTCCAAAACGCCCGAGGAAGGCCGAGAGAACTTCGCGCGCTTCCAGACCACCGTTCAGGCGATCGTGGAATTCATCAAAAACGGTCGATTCCTAGCGTAGTCGCGGTATCCGCGGATACGTAATAAGTATGTGCGGTTTTTTGAGCGGGCTGGGAAAAAATCCCCGTTAACTGTTAAAATGTCCGACGTAGTCGTCACACGCGTTTACCGATCGCCAGCAACACAGATGTACCGCGGAGAATCGATAAATATAGTTGTGAGTTAATTAGCAAAGCGCGCACCATTTATTTCCTTTCACTCTCTCAAACGAGCGCGCGGCTTGCGGTTAAAATTAGGTAACGCGCGTAAAGACAATGTTCAGAGAGAAAGGGAGGGGGGAGAGGGAGAGAGAGAGAGAGAAAAAAAGAGAGAAGGAGAGAGATTTAAGGATTATTTATCTCTGCATATTCTCGAGGAGAGGAAAAAAAGCATGTTCACTTTTATACTATATCACGCCCTTCGGCGATCGTTTGTATTATTTTGCCGGCAAGACGAGCGCGGCGGTAACGCAGAATTATTCTTGCTGACGTACGACTCAGGCGGACGATCCATTGTAAAAGCGGCGGTGGGCTCATAATCTGGCGATGTAGGATCTCTCCAACCCGGGGCTGACCGGAACTGCGCCTATGCTCTTTCGCCGGAAGCGCCGCTGCCACATGTAGTAATATAAATTATAATGCCCTTACGGTTTTTCCTTTTGTGGATTTGCATTTAAAACACCGGAATGGCATTGTCGTCGAAATCGCCGAACGCAATTTTCATGGAAATAAGAAAGCTATCCGCGCTTCCCCCTCCCCCCCCCCCCCC